GCTAGCACTAGAAGAGCAGAAGCCATGGACATGTGAAATTAAACACGGAGAAGAGGAATGTGGCCTATTATTCGCAAGCAAGAAAGCATTGCATAGCCATATTATTCGTGCACATAATGTACACAACTTAGCAGCGGTGATGACGTCAAACAACGAGTGCCTGAACTGCCAGCAAGTATTTACAAGCAAAGGTACGGCATGGAAACATTTGGCAAGCAGTATGATCAAAGGAGGATGCAACAGAGACAGAACAAAGAATCAATATGTTCCGACGGCACATTCTCCGCAATGCCCTCTCTGTAGTCATTTCTCTATCGAAAAGGGTGCGCAATTCATTCACTTACGTACGCATCTCCCGCGACGGCTCCTTCAGCCGCCAAGAGGTATACATCATGTCCCTGTTCGACCAGAGGCCATTGGGCCAGGCTCCGCCAGGCCCAGCAGGGGGGGGCGCAGTCCGACGAGAAGATCGCAGCCGACAACGGGGGCCAGTGCTACGCGGACCAGCGGTCGGAGGCGGAGGCAACCAACAACAGATCACGGAGCTCACGGCGAGGCTCACGCTCACGGTGGCACGAGAGCAAGCGGAAATGGCGGCTGCACTCATACAAACCTGGGAAATCGCCACGACGACGGGTATCGCTACCACGGCCCTCGGAGCGGGCAAGCACTACAACGACGAAGCGCAGCAGCTCCACCAGAGACAACGAGGCGGAAACCAAGTCGACCTAGGCAGCCTGGGCAGCCCGCACGTGAAAGTGTGGACGGAGACGTGCGCGTACCTGGGCAAGCAGCTCGAGGAGGGCGGGCAGCTCAACGAGGTGAAGAGCCACTACGAGAACATCATTATGAAGAACGACACGGAGGCCCTCGCGGACATAGTACCAGTGTTCAGGGTCAGGCGCAACAAGGGCAAAGAGGGCGGCGGGGTCGAGAAGTGCCGATTCCAGTTCAAGTTCGGAGAGAGCAACCACCAGTTGTGCACGGTGCTGGTCAACCAGCTCAAGAAGGAGGGCGCCACTCGCAAGATCGGGTCGGCACCGAGGGGCGCCTTGGAGAGGGAACTTGGCCGCCTAGTGAATGGATAGTCACGATAGAGGACGAGAACCGAGAGGATACGACCTCTCGAGATCGACACCTGAGAGATGAGGAGGAGGAAAACAGTGTTCGAATTCGCCCAGTCCTCCCCCCGCAGCTTCCCCAGACCATCCCACGAGTTTTTGACAATAGCGCTAGGTTTCGTGAGATAGTTAGGTCTGGACGTCTCCCACCTCCTCCTTCTCAGAATGCTGTGCCCGAGATCTTCCAATTCGATGGCCCACGTTTTCCTCAGTATTTACTAATGCACCGACCTCCCCCCACTCCCGAACCGAAGCGTAAGGGACGAGGTAAGGGTAAGCGGAGCCAGCGAAGCCAACAGCAGCAGCAGAGCGAACGACCTCCGTGAATGCGGGTGCTACCCTGCCCGCAGACCCCTGCGTGGGGGAGGTCGGTGCAGGTCGGGCCCGAGCGTCCACTGACGTCAGCTCTACCAGTATACTCAGAGAACACAGCTAGGCCGTGCTTAGATTACGCAGCTACTCAGAGCTAGCCAGAGCGTCAGTCACCCAGACATCGGCCCGACAGCTCGATCGATCGATCCTCCTCCTCCTCCTCCTCCTCCTCCTCCTCCTCCTCCTCCTCCTCCTCCTCCTCTCCTCCTCCTCCTCCTCCTCCTCAACCTCCTCCTCCTCCTCCTCCTCTCCTCCTCCTCCTCTCCTCCTCCTCTCCTCCTCCTCCTCCCCCTCCTCCTCCTCCTCCTCCTCCTCCTCCTCCTCCTCCTCCTCCTCCTCCTCCTCCTCCTCCTCCTCCTCCTCCTCTTGCTCCTCCTACTCTGCACGTCGCGCGCTCTCCTTTCAAATTGAGAGGTAAGGCCCCCCCTCCCGATCGGGGGCCCCCAAACGGTGTGGTGACCACACCGTGGGATGAGTCGGTGGGGATTCGGGGTCGCCGCACGGTCTTGTGTCTCGGGTCCTCTCCGAGGATGTCTCGGGCGACAGGGGCCTCCAGGGTCCCAAGACCGTGCGAGGTCACCGCACGGTCTGTCGCCGCACCGTTTCGGGACTCCAAACCCGAGCCAAGATGTATCGTGTCCCCCTGGGACGCTGCAATCTAAGTCTGATTCGGACTCGTGCCCCGCCCCCGCCCCCCGCCTCCGACCCCCCGGGGGGGGCCCCGGCAGCGAGCGTGCCTCGTGCTCGGCGCGGGGTCTGGGTCTGTCGGGCCGGACGAAAGGGGGAGAGGGACAGGGGCGTTACGAGCTCTGCCGCACGCAGCTGGTTTCGGCCCCACCGAGGGGCCCAGTCCTCGATACATGGCCTCCTCCGGCGCCGGGAGGCGCCGGGAAAATCAGCCACGTGAGCTGATTCTCAAACCCCCCTTGCGGGTGCTCGGGCGCGTGCCATTGGCGACCGCCGCGCACACCCGCCCCCTTGGCGTGGCCCACAGCTCGGGTTGACCCCGAAGGGGGTCCAGGGAAAAGGGGGTGGTGCAATAGATTTGGTGCGATAGATTTTTGGGGTTTCAATGCACCGAGGGCGTGCAATACATTCCGGGGCGCAAATGTATTGTTGGATTTTCGCGTGCAATACATTACTTGCAATACATGACTTGCAATGCAATGCTCTGGCGCAATACATTTGCAATAGAATTGCCCCAAATCTATTACACCACCCCCTTTCAGCTGGACCCCCTTTTGGGTCACCCAAAACAGCGCCCAGGCGTCACCGTCGCCCGGGGCCCCAGCCCCTCCACACCCCCCACTGGTAGTGTTAATTCGGGCCTGTCCCTCTACAGGAGGAATATTCTCAACAATAGTAAAGAAATTAGCCCGGGGACGATGTTTGGACAATTGTTGAGCATTTGTTGATTCTGTTTGGGGTTATTTTTACTTTTTCGTCCCAAATCCGCCTGTAGGGGAACATGCCCGACCTAATGGTAATGGCCGTCTCCGGAAATGGTTAAAACATATCGGGGGGGATGGGTCGGCAGGGCGGCGTTGGTCGTCGTCGTTTGTCGCACGTCATTCAACGTTCGTCGTTCGTCGACGTCTTCGCCGTCGTCGGCGGACGTGGAGGTGGGTGAAAGAGAGGTAGAGATAGAGAGTGTTTATCTATATATATATATATATATATATATATGTATATGTATATATGTATAGAGAGAGAGGCAGAGCAGAAACATGAGGAGGATGAGGAGGATGAGAAGGCAAGAGGCTTAGGGCAGAGGGTTGGGAGAGGCGAATGGAGAAGGGAGGAACAGGAGATGGCCTGCACGTCCTCCTCCGCCTCCCCATGCTCAACCGTTCAACAGGAGAGCGGGCATTGAAGGATGAGGAGTAGCACGAGGAGGAGGATGAGGAGGAGCGAAGACGAGGAGGCGAGGCAGGGTGTGGAGGAGGAGGTTGGTTGGAGGGGGGCGGTGACAGGGGGCGGTTGTGAGGTACAGAACAAGAAGTATACAAGGTATGCGCCTGTCGTACTGCTGGCTTGCTGTATGCAGTCTCGCGACTGACTGTGTTTGCTCGAGTTGAGCGGTGTTCGCAGCAGTGGCAGTTGTGCATCAGCAAAACTTGTTGTAGGGAGCATGCGATGCATCTTCAAGCATATTCGGGTCAGCAGAGGCTGTCTCTGCATGGCGTCTTCGATTGATTGGTTTGCTCCGTGGGATCCCACGCCTTTCTCATCCCCACTTCTCCTCTCCCCCTCTCCTTCACAGAGCCCAAGGCGTCACCCGAGCGACGCAAAAGAACGGAGTCATCTGCGCCGACACTGGCGCATCAGCTGCACGCGTAGGTCGCGCGCAAACGTCCTTGTCTCCAATGTAGCGTGCCGCGCTGGCGGCCCGCGTAAGCCGCCGCGAAAGTTCGCTATGGCATCTCGCGTAAGACCGCTTTCGTTTCGTCGCTCATCTGTTCTTTCGGTCAAGGGGGGAAAACCACCCGGACCTGACAATTGACGTTTACTACACGGCCCTGGGCGTTTACTAGACAGTCCTGCCCTGTTCGATTCCTTCCTTGGGTGCGTTAACTAAACGGCTTCGATTGTCGGGGTGATTGTCATGGGGCTGGAGTTTCTGCCCTCTGTTCGGCCTCCTTTGGGCCAGCTCCGCCGAATCGCTCGCTGCGTTGGGCGGCCTCCCGCTCCAGGGGAGCGCGTCTCGCACGCCGCTGCCGCTGCTCTGCCAGCGCGGGCGGAAGGGGGCCTGGCGACGGCAGGGGGGGTGTCGGGGAGCAGGAGGAGGCACGGGCGAGGCAGAGCGGGGAAGGGGGCGGGAGGGAAGGAGGAGGATAATGATGGGGGAGGAGGACGAATAGGAGGAGGGGGAGGAGGAAGTGGTGGAGGAGGAGGAGGAGAAGGAGGAGGAGCAGGAGGAGGAGGAGGAGGAGGAGGAGGAGGAGGAAGAGGAGCAGGGGAAAGGGAAGGGGAGGGGGGAGGTGAAGGGGAGGGGGAGGGGGCGCGAGGAGGGCGGGGCGAGGGCCATGAGAGTGGCACGAGTGAAACGGAGGGGGCGGGGAACGGGCGGGGACGGGGACGGGGATGTGGAGCGGATGGGGCGGTGCGAGAAGAACGGGTTCGGATCAGCCTTTGTTGATCGGGCGGGCGCCAACCGGGGGGGCAGCGAACGTGGGGGAATAGAGGATTGTTGGAGAGGGGCGCCACAATAGCCCTACTTGGTTCTCAGACTGCACGAAATGTGCACGTCTCTTCACCCATGTTTACAGTGGAGGACCATGGCAAGAAACACCCTGTTCGCCTCCAGGGTGCCCTGGACTTCTTAGATTTCAATGGTTTCGCTATGGAACGCGTGGCGTTCCCACGCCAAAAATCAATGTGCGTCCTGGTGTTCCAGGGTTGGGATTATTGTGGAAGGTTTCTTGTGGTTGGGCCTCCGCGGTATTCCCCCTCGTTAACGCACAACCGAGCCTAACAGCTTTTTTGGTCGGCATCGGCGGAGGGGAGGTGCCGGTGCCGCCGGCAAGCTTGTTGCTGCAGGCCTGCGCGCAGCTCTCTGCACCGCGCGCTCCGCTGTCGCTTTTCTCAGTCTCGCCCTCGACGGAGAACGGGGGGGAGGAGGCGGAGGAGGAGACAGGAAGAGGATGTGGAGGAGGCTCTCGTGTCCTTCGTTGGGTTCGCCTCGAGGTCGTGGTTGGAGCGCCGCAGGACGGGCACGGGGGTCGATTCTGAGGGTATGGGGCTCATGTTTCCAGTCGTCCCGGAAGAAGCACAACGGCGTTTTCTCTCGTGTCTTGGGGCAGTGCCGCAGAGGAGCAAGACATCATGACAAGGACACGTTCTGAGATTTGTAGGTCTCTTTATGCTTCGGGCTGGCTCCTGAGCTCCAGATATGAAGGCCGCTACATACTCCAGAATAATTCTGGAGTGTCTAGCGGCCTTCATACCTTGATAAGAGTATTCCTAGAGTTTTGGAGATAGCACGATTGGCTCAAGATAGGTTCCAGGAATTCTGAATTCATGGAACCTATATCGAGCCAATCGTACCATGACATAATGTTTTTATCGCTTCGCTCATTCCGCCGGCGATGTTGCGCACCGCGGTGGCCTGGCCGAGAGGTCGTCGGCAGTGCGGAGCTGCAGGGAGCGGCGGCCCCAAAACGTTTCCAGAGGCTCTCAAGAGGGCTTCAAAATGGCTTCAGAGCTCCTCAGGACAGCCGAGAGAGCCCCAACACGGCCCAAGGAGGGCCTCACAGAGTCTCAGAGTTTCCCAGGAGAGGCGCAAGTAGACCACAGGAGGCTCCGTGGGGCCTCCTGGCAGCCTTTTCGAAGCTTCTTGGTAGCCTCTGGGGGGCCTCTTGGGGCCTCTTTAGGGCCTTTGGGGGGCCTCCGTGGGCGTCTTTAAGGCGTGCTGGCGGCCTCTTGGAGCCTCCTGGGGACCTTTCCGGACCAAAAGCTCGAAATGTCCGTTCGGGTGCCCCGTCTGGGCTCGCTTTTACAGCCGTCTTGAAGGCGTCTTGGGCCATCTTGGAGGTCTCTGGGACTGTCTTGGGGTCCTCTTGGGCCCTATTTGGCTTATCTTGGTGGCTTGTTGGGCCGCCTTGGGGCGACCTTGGGGCCTCTTGGGCACGTTTGGACGCTGTGAACCCCAGACGTCGTATATGCGAAAAATGTACGTTTCCCTAGTGAATGGGATGAGTTTTGCTTGTTGGAGCCCTCTTGGAGAGCCTGTTGAGGCTGTCTTGGGCTTCTCGGCGGCCTGGAGGGCCGTATGAAGGCCATCTTGGGCGTCTTGGACCGCTCGTTCGGTGACTCGGAGCGCTTTGGGGCTGTCTTGGAGGCCTCGTGGGGCCCTCTTGGCGCGCTCTGGGCGGCCTCAGGGACCCCACCCAGGAGGAAAGCCATCTCTGACAAAGAGTGGCCGGGCGGCGGGCGGGGTACTTTTGGCCGGGGCACCCCCAGGGGCCGCCCCGCGCGCGCGAACTAGAATATTGTTAACCAGTTACCGGAGATTTTAGCACGCCTTTGGCCCGTTGGGCCGGCGAATTGCTTTAGTTCCAGTTCCAGTCCATTCACTCAGCCCGGCCATCCGAAGCCGACCCGCAGCGGAAGGGCGTTCCCAGGTCCAGGGTCGAGGACTCCATGAGCCCACGTGAAACGATCACGACGTCGGGGCCGGGGCCGCTTCCCGTTCATGGCCCTCTCCGTTTCCTCCCTATTTTTTCTTTCGCCAGCACTGCGGGGGAGGGGGTAGGAATTGGTGGGAGTCTGATGCTACATGGTTTACCACATGCACATGCACTTTCAGTCTTGCTGCGCGTGCTTTGGGGTCTGCTCGAGAAGCGCAACTGGCCAGGCCAAGTATTTCCCTTGCTGACGCGTATTCATTTTTTATGTTGGCAGGTCAGATGCGGATGGGCTCTCATTATTTGCACGTAGGATTCATCCGCGTCTCAGGGACAGTGGGGAGCCAGCGCGTCCGATGGTGTTGAACTCCAGCGACAGGACGAACACCGCCATGGATTCGTGCTGTCTGCTCTGGAGCCCCCAAAGTTCACGACGCCGCGCCGTCGCCTCGGGCTTTCACAGGGGGCTCGCGCTGCTGGAGTCACAATGCTGCCTCTGGCGACATTGTTTTCGGGAGGCTCATATTCAGACGGCACCCGAGTCGACTCCCCTCCGCGTCTTCGGCACGAGCGCTCGTTGAGCGATCTATGCTGGCATGCAAGGGCAAACAAGAAGGCTGAGTCGGTCTTCATCTCAGCCGAAATGGCAGAAACGGATCACGGTGGCGAAAAGGAGACGGAGGGCGGAGCAGCAGACGAAGGAAAAGAGGGAGGTGTAATCGTTTCCATCGTGTCCTTGCCTCGGAGACGCTCTCTCTGGCCGCCGAGCCGACCCCCCTCCCGCCGCTCTCCCAGGCCCCTCTGCCCAGGGCGAGGGAGGAGGGGAGGAGGACGACCCGCGAAGCGGGTTGTTGGCGGTCGTATGCTCTCGGGCTGTGCGTTGTTTCTGGAGGCCTCTGAAACTCCAAGATCCCCCCCATCGATCACAGCGGAAACCCACGCCAAGAAACACCCTGCTTGCCTCCTCGATGCCCTGGGTTTCTCGGGTTTCGATGGTTTTGCTATGGAAGCCGTGACGTCCCCACGCCAGAAATGGAGGGACGTCCTGGAGTCAGGGTTGGGTTTCTTGTGGAAGGTGGCAGGTTTCGTGTGGTCGAGCTCCAACTGTAGATTCCTCTCGCTTCGCGGGGTGCACGTCCGGAGCACGTGCAGTCCAGTCGTTGTGGTGCTTTTTGAGTGCCTTTTGGGGGCCTTTCGGGAACCTCTTGGGGGCTTCTTGGGGCCTCTTGGGTGCTTCTTGGGGGCCTCTTGTGGCCTCTTGGGGGCGTCTTAGGCCGTCTTGGGGCGCTTTTGCGCCGTTTGGCCTCTTCGGAGACCGTCTTGGGGGCCTCTTTGGGCCGCCTTGGGGCTCTCTTGGGGTCCTTTTGGTCTGTCTTGGGGCGCTCTTGGACCGTCTTGGGGGCCTCTTTGGGCCGTCTTGGGGCCCTCTTGGGCCGTCTTGGGGCCCTCTTGGGGTCTTATTGGGCCGTCTTGGTGCCATTTTGGAGGCTGCTTGGGCCGTCATGGGCGTTTGAGAGTCAAACAAGCAAGGTGAGAACGCTAAAATCCTTCAACAACCAACGACAAATCAATGATTTTGGCTTTGGAGGCGCTCTTGTGGGCGCTCTTAGGCCCCTCTTGGGGGGCTTTCTTGGGACAATTTTGGACTGTCTAGGGGCCGTTTTGGGCCCTTTTGAGCAAATCTTTAGCTGTTTTTGGGCCCTCTTAGGCCCCCAAGAGGCCCAAGGGGCCCAAACCGTTGATTTTCACTAAGTCTTTGAACGTTTTTTGGGCAACAGGGGGAGGGGGGGCACCCTGGTCGGCGGAAGTGGCTTGGCCTGGGGCGGGGGATTGAGGGGGGAAACATAATAGTGTAATAGAATGTGTAGCAAGTATGTAACAAATAGATAGATGACAAGTATGCAATGATTCGATGTACGGGATATGTTGCATTAGGGCTTCCGCTCCGCTGCTCGACCTGCCTCCAGCAGCACGTCTCTTCCGGACGTGGATTCGATAGGCTTACGCCACATCCGCCGGCCCCTTGTTTTTGTGTAGCCTTTATCGCCCGCTGTGGTGGACGCCTTCGTTGCGGCGGTATGTGGTTTCATGAGTAGGGTGTTTGGGACTAGTCGTGGTTTCGGGGTAGTGTTCGAGAGCCTCGCAACTTGATCATTCCCGTAGCCCCTGCAGGTGCGGATAGGAGTGAGGGGTTGCTTGGAGAAGGAGTTTCCGCGGCAGGGGCACATCAGTGGCGCGCGGGAGACGGAAAACCGAGTGAAAGTAGCGCGCGCAGATGGCAAGGACCTTGGTTCACGGCGCGCAGTTGGCAGGCGTATCAGTGCAGCGGCATGCGCAAAAGAAACCTACCGACGTCGGCAGTCTCCGTGAGGCCTGACAATGTCGCGCGCGACGAAAAGAAGCGCACCCTGAAGTGCAAGACATGCAAACGATGCGCATTCGAGCGCCCGTTTTGCGGTTCGTCGAAGTAGGACCAGAAGGGGAGAGCGAGACGGGGAGCGAAGCTGATGAGGAGGAGGAAGCTGCAAAGAAGGAAGCGCAGAAGGAGGAGGAGGGAAAGGAGGATGCGTGGTAGGAGGGGTAGAGGGAGGCAGGGTATGAGGCGGAGGAGGATGAAGAAGACAGAGGGGGGGGACGGAAAGTGAGGATCCAGGCTTGGGGCCCAAACAGGGGCCTCCGGGGTCCGTTAAAAGCTATGCCTGCACCCCCGGAACGCATGTGTGCACGCTGGATCTGGAAACTTCGCGCGGGCTTCCTGACAGCGAAGTCTTTCACAGTCTTCGGTCCATCCCGGCCTGGTTGTGCGTCAGAGTCTCGGGTTTGTTTTTTCTTTGTCTTTGGTTTATCGGAACGTTCCCGGGGGACGCAAGGGGGGCAGTGTCAGAGTCCAGACGGAAATTATTTGGGATCATTGTTTTTGCCGCGGCTGACATTCGCAGTGTTCGCCTTGGACGCATGATTATCGAATGGCCTTCGGTCCATCCCGCAACCGTGCCTGTCTTGTGGGTATGAGGCCAGTGGGATGGTTGTGTTCGCCGTGCATGCATGATCATCGAATGGCCTTCGGACCATCCCGCCACCGTGCCTGGCTTGTGGGTCTGTGGCCGTGGGATCGTTGATGGGGTCTCGTCCGAGGTTTTTCCGGGGGGGGTTGGAAGCATCCCGCCACCGTGCCTGGGTTGTGGGGCTGAGGCCAATCGGATGGTTGATGTGTCCCCTGGGAGGCTTTTCGGGGGCGTCCTAGAGGCAGTTGTTTGATTCCCTGGGGGTTTCATGGAGGCCTCATGGAGGTTTTCTGGAGCCTGTTCGGAGTTCCCTTGGGTTTCTTAGGGCAACCTGGGGGCTTCTCGGGGCCGAAGGCTCGAAATGTCCGTTCGGGTTCCCCTCTGGGCCCCTCGAAGGGCCGTTTTGGAACCCATCTGGGGCGTCTTGGGGGGTTATTGGGCCATCTTGGGCCGTCTTGGAGCCAGTTGGGGGCCGCCTGGGCCGTTTTGGGACGAGCTTGGAAGCCCCTTTGGGCCATTGTTGTCGTAGTGGAAGCCCAAGAGTCGAATGTGCTAAAATCATGCGTGTGTTTCTTGGGACCCTCCTGGGGTGCCGCCTTGAAGGCATCTTGGGTCGTCTGAGTGCCATCTGTTTCGACGATTCTGGGCCCTCTTGGACCGTCTTGGGAGCTCCTTGGGGCCCTCTTGGCCCGTTGTGAGGCCCTCCGCTCCACCGTGGCGCGTTCAACCGGGGGTCGTGCCGGGCCAAGGGGGGGAGTCAAGGTCGAGGTTTGGAGTCCCTGGGGGGGATCACGGGGGGGAGCAATCTCACACGCCTAGAGACCCACAAGGGGTCGGCGGATATTCGAGGAGGAGTAGTAGAGGTCGAGACTCCCCTTCGGCAAGCATGGGACTCTCGAGGATCGAGGGCGGGGAGGATGTTCTCGACCAGACCTCCTTCTTGAGAGGGAAGAGGTCCTCAGAGGCCTCCGGATGCCTTTGTTGGCGGTGAGCGAGGGGAAAATGAGAAGGAGAAGGCCTTCTCACAAGGCGGCCGGACTTCTCAGATGCCCTCGCGCCTTGTGGGAAGTTTTCTCTGTCTTCGGGAAAGGCTTAGGGAACTTCTCAGAAGGCCCGGGGATTTCCGAGTCCTCTGAGAAGGCCCGCTCCTTCTCATTTCCCCCCCCTGGTTCGCCGCCGATCTTGAGAAGGAGGAGGTCCTCGGAGGCTTCCAGAAGTCTTTGGAAGCTCCCCGAGGCCTTCGGGGAATCCTGGAATAAGGCAACCGCGATAAATATCGAGATTTCGATCTTGGACGAGGGGAGGAGGTGGACAAGGGGGGAGAACACCTTGCCGTATGGCCTATATCCGCAAGGCCGCTGGACGCCCGCATGAGTTACTCCAGTCTCCCACGCTCATTTCGCATGTCTTCCATGCCACGCAGCCTGTCTGTTTGTACCCACTTGCGCCATCTCAGACTCGACCATCCTAGCTGGTGAACGCCGAACGCAGTAGGAAGCAATAGAAGCAGATTGAGGGCCGCTCTGGTGCCACTGTTGAGCAGTTGTCGTGCGCTCCGATTTCGTCCCCCCGATTGCGATCCTGGTGTGAACCCTCGCCCGAGGTGACCCACGGAAGGCTCATGCACATCACAGCTATTCCTGGACAGGGCTACCATGGGCTTCCGGATGGTGTGTAGACCCTCCAGGCCTCGGCCAGGAAGGAAGGCGTATGCAGCATGCCAGGGCCCAGAGTGGCCTTGGCCAGGCATTCTGGCGATGTATCGATGCCTTCTGTGTGTTGATACCCCCACGTGAACGCCCGTCCGAGGGACGGGCTGACGTAAAAGGGAGGAGTAGAAGCAGAGGGAGGGAGGGGGGGAGGAGGTTTCAGGAAGCTCACAGTGGGGCAAGGATGCCCACCCATCTTGACGATTCATCCTCGAGGACTGCGGAGAAGGGCAAGGTGGAAGGGTGGAAGAGAAGGAGAGAGAGGGGGGTCCTCCTCCCCCTCCTCCTCCTTTCCTCGTGGGCAGGCCGCCGGGAGACCACCGCGCCCGTGGCGTCAGTTGCGCCCGCGCCCGCGCGGGCGACGGCACGGCCAGGCCTGGCCCACGGAGAGCGCGGAGAAGCGGTGGAACGGTGGACGATTTCGGCCACGCGCAGAGTCAAGCCGTGGCGAAGCGTCCTGGCGTGCCTATAGGCCCACCAAACAATGTTCTGAGGACCTTTTGTGGTTTCCACGAAATGTTCTTAGAACATTTCTGGCCGGGACTGTTTTGTTTTAACTCATCTGGTTGATGTGTTAATAAGAGCATGGCTGTTGTCTTAGAAATTTTGGGCTTCTAAGAACATTTCGTGGTAGGCCTATAGAAATGCCGGGACGGTCGGTCCCTGCTCAACAAAGGGGGTAGGAGGAGAGGGGAAGGCTTCTAAGAAACACCCCTGCTTCTTAGAAGGCGCGGGCCTTGTCTACGGATGTAGGGCGGGCGCCTTCGAAGGAGCAGCCCACTTCTAAGAAGTCTTCCCCCTTCCCCAGGGCTCCCTTGTGCGCTCCGCCGACAAGTCCCTCCCACCCACAATGATCTCCGCCAGCATGGCCCCAGAGGGACGCCAGGTGAAGCGGGTCCTTCAGGTCTTCTAGGTCCTTGGCGCGCCACGTCCTGCTCTGCAGCAGGTGGCACAACAACTGGGCGTGTATGGGCACCCAGGATGGGTCAAGCTCCTCGTCCTCCTCCTCCTACCAGCCTCCTGAAGCACATCCCCATCCCTATGACTGGCCTCTCCCCGTCTCGATGCCGATCAGGAGGACCCCCTCGGTGTCTGAAGGCACATCCCCAGGACTGTCGTCGTCTTTGGCTTGTCGATCTTTGTAAGGGGCAGGGACGTGTTCGATGCTTTGTCCTCCTCCGCCCTCTGGCCGGCCCTCCGACCCCCCACCCTCGAGGTTGTCCCAGGAGGCCCCGAGGCCCCGGGGACAGCAGGAGGCCCTCCTCCCGCCGTTTTCGAGAGGATGTGCGATGCCGGAGGGCCCCCCCCCCCCTCGAGCAGTGGGGAAGCGTCCCGGCTTGCCTATAGGCCCGCTGTTCTCAGAGCATTTCTGGCCGCGAGCGTCGTGCTTGAAGGCGTCGGGTCTGTGCTCTCTCAGAACAGTGCGTTTGTTTTTTAGGAGCATCTGTGGGGTTCTAAGAACATGCCGTGGTAGGCCTATAGTCGGCGACTGCGAAGGGTATGGTTACGTCGGGGTGTGGTTTGCGATCGGCACCGTTGGGGCCTGGGGGGCACGACAATGTCCTCGTCGGGCCTCCTCGGGGCGCGGGAGAAATCCATCGAGGTCCCCGCGCGCCCCCCAGGGTGCCCCGCCAGGATGTTCCCTAGGGTGCCGGTTGCAAGCCACACCCTCTGCAAGCCACACCCCTTGGACTCGCCGATCCAGGACTGCCGGGACGGGACGGGCGGTCCCTGCTCAACTCGACGACGTCGCCAATGTCGTCGCCGTCGCCGTCGCCTTCGTTTTCGTCGTCGTCGTCGCCGTCGCCTTCGTCGTCGTCGGGACGGGTGGTCCCTGCTCAGCTCGACGATGTTCGAGGCTGGAGGGCTTCCCCCCCTGCCGCCCGGGGCGAGGCGCGGCGGCCGACGGCCGAGGCGCGGCTCTGGCCTCGTACCACAACGCGCTGCTCGGCGTCTGACGGCCGCCGCCGCCGCCGCCGCCGAGCAGGCTCCGGCAGCGCGCAGAGGGGGGGGGGCCTGGAGATCCAGCGTATCGAGGAAATCAGGATGGAGGTTTTCCGCCCTTTTCCGCCTCTCGAGGCCGTGGCTGGGCCCCAGGACCGACAGGAAACGATTCAGGATGAAAAGCCAGTCTTGGGGAAGGGGTCGAGGCCTCCGGGGACCCCGTAACTATTGAAAAAATCACGACATCGGATCTCTGGGGGTGGCGGCGGTTGGGGGGGGGGGGCCGCTGGGACAGCATGGGATGCATGCGCCGGCGCAAGACGGAACAAGCTTGTGCCAGCGGTTGCCCAGGTGGCCCAGCGTTGCGAGAGAACACATCATCATCATCATCACCACAATCTGTATCCTCTTCTTCCTTCTCTTCATCATCATCATCATCATCATCATCATCATCATCATCATCACCACCACCATCACCATCACCATCACCATCACCACCACCACCATCACCATCACCATCACCATCACCATCATCATCACCACCACCATCACCATCACCATCATAATACGTGGCCATTTTGGCTCACGCTCGAACCGCTTGGCCTGGCGTTTCGAGCTTGGACGCAGCCGAAGGCCTGTCGAGCTCCCGGCCGCAGGAGCCTATTTCGGCCTCTCGATTTCAGTTCAGTTTGCGTGCCCCGCGCCTCCTTTGCTGCTTGCTGCGGAGTCGGTCGGGGACGGCAGCACTTTGGGGGGTATTGAGAGTGCTCACGTGGAGGACGTTCGCAGGCTGTTCACTCTTGGGTTTCAGGACAGCTTGTTGGCGACATCTGTCGAGCGCGTGGTGCAGGATATTCTCTCCAAGCGTGCGGCGAAACAGGCGGGCAAGCTCGTTCGTGTGTGTGCGTATGATACGCAGAGAAAGAGTACCCTTGACTTCCCGCTTCCAGCGATGACAAACGATTTATCTGACAATCGTCGGAAGCTGAATGACACGTACACCATGCAGAATCCCAGGGGCAAGGATGACCTGTGGCATCTGAGGGCGCGTTGCAATATTTCTCGTCAGCACCGTTTGCTCTTCTTCAAGATGGGAAAAGTCCGTCACGCTTTGCAGGAATAGTTGAACAAAGGAGGGCTCCAGGCGAATTCGACCGGGATCGGCGGGGATGCATTCGCGCTCCATTCGAAGGAGGACCCCGTCGGGTTGTTTAATTTAAGGTGTTGCCCCAATGGCCCGGTGGCAATCCAATAGGGTTCGAAGTATCCAGGCCTTGAAGCTGCCTCCCGAAGTTTCAGGCCGCGCGCGATGCTGCCTCTTTTTCCGTCCTTTTTGAGCATGACAGGGATGGGCTAGACAATTCAATTGCCTGCAATGTGCCCGCGGGCCCAGTTTGGCAAGTTTCGTTGCAGAAGACAAGTGGCCCTGCGGGTGCCGCTGTCGGGGGGCCCTCTCGGCGCAATCTTTCTCCCGGCGGGGGCCCCGCCTTTGCGCGCCAGTCCGGTGTTGCGCGGGGTGGAGGGGGCCGGCTTTTAGATGCGTCTCTGCATTTCTCGCCGCCTCCGCCCCTTGCTCTCTGTGCTCTTTCGAGGAGCTCTAAGGGACTCCGCGCATCCATCTCCCATGCCTCCCTTCGTGCCGCTCGACGGTATATGCAGCTTACTTTGTCGAGAGACTCGTGGCGCCGAGGGTGACGCCGAGGCTACCCATAACGACTTGCGAGGTTCATCGGTCGGTTGCTCAGGCTGTGACTCGCCTATCGCTGGGGGAGTTCTCATTGCTTTCTCTACTGATACCTGCGAGCTCTTCTTGGACATCAACCGCCATGTGGTTGTTCCAGGCACAGAATATGTCTTACCAAATGTTACGGGTATCATGGTGCCTTCTGGGTGTTAAATCTCAACCTTTCTTGTCTCTGGTGAACCTTCGTTGGACTACCGCCGTGGCCCTCTGCGGTCTCGCGGGGGCTTCGCTTTTTTTCTTCGAGGAGGACGGCAGGCAACGTGCTGATGGGAGTGGCGGCGCTCAGGGGGCCTACAAAGACGCGGGACGTTCTTGGAGTTCCTTCCTCGATGGACAGAGGCTTGCCGGCCAGAGCCAACGCGACGAGAGACATCTCAAGGCGTTCGTGTTCATGTTAGTCGACTGGCTCGGACCTGCCCCGCTAGTCCCTCGGCTATTCTGGCGGACTTCACGGTCAGCTGTTCTGCGATTGGGAGGGCTGCGCCCCTTGGGACGTCCTCGGACCGCGCGCCTGTGATGGCCGCGATTCGGAAGTACTCCCCGTCTGCGTTTCTTCGGGCCCCGCCCCGGATGTGCTCGGGCCCGATCTCCCATGCCGACCTCGTTCTTGCTGGAGGGCCTCGATAGGTCCAGCCCGATCGGGGAACCAATCGCGTGCAGAACCCGCGTGGCATTCCTTGTTGATTTGCTGGCGCGCGGGGCCGCGGTTTGCGGCGCGTCGCCGCCGCGGGCTCGACGTCGCCAGTCGCGCGCGCGCGTTCTCGTCGCCTCGGAAGCTGAGCAGAATCTTGTTCTAGCTATCGCGGAAGTTTTTTTTCCCATATTTCCATTTTTGTTATCTTGCTGTCCTGACCCCAGCTGTCTAAGGCCACCCAGCGTCGCAATACTTGAGGCATTGCACTTGGCGCGCTTCGGCGGGGGGGGGGGCAGCTCCTTTTTTGCGTTGGCGCTTGATCCGTGCGTGCGGCGACTAATTAGCGCCACGGCTCCCTCGTCGGATTCTTGGGCACGCAGATGATGCATGGTTCGGCCTACGGGATGTCGTTGTCGAGCTTCCTCTGCCACTGCCGCCGCGGCTGTTTCGGGGAAGTTACGCGTGCTACTCTCACCCCTGATGTTCCACGGCGGCTTCCATCCTGGTCGCGCTCCCTCAACCTGGTGGGAGAAAACATCTGCTCTGTCGATGGCGTCGAATTGGGAGAGGCGTATCGCGTTCTGTGGGGTGTTCCCCCAGGCTGACGGGTTCCGAAAAAAATCGCCGCCCGCCTTCGCGCTCGACCTGTTGTCGTTGCCCCGTTTCGTTGCCTTCTTGAGCGAATCCAGCGGCCGCTTCTTGGGGCCTGCGCAGACCAAGTCTCTGGGCCCCCTACATCATCCGTAAGGTTGTTGCTGCAGGCCCCCGCTGTCTTGGCTCGGCAGCGCTGCGGATTCTTTCCAGGAGGCGCATGTTTCTAGTGCGAGGCCCCATCATGGACATGCCAGATGTTGTTGGATCTGCGGGCACGAAGGTGCCGCGGGCCCCGCGGAACACCATGCGGTATGTCTTGAATTTCGGCGTCTGAGCCTAGTCCTCGCCCCTTGTCTGGGCCCATTTTTCAGCGAGGTTTCACTGTTCGACGCAGGTGCCCCCCCATCCCTCTCTGAGCAGAGGATCATCTGCGCGTGCCTGCGCGATGCCTTCTTTCCTGTACAAGCGTTCTCCAGGGAAGGGGTTCGGACCACCCCCCCCACTTGACCTTTGCCGCGCGATGGTCAAATTGCATTGCAGGAGGCATCCGAAGCTGCAAGAAGACAAGCTCTCGGCCAGGGAGGGCAATGTTTCGGCGCTTCGATTCCAGAGCAGCCTGGTGGCTGCTGGCATGGCGGACATCGCTGCACTTGCTAGCGGGACACCTCTCATCGTCGCGCGTTGTTTGTTCCCCGCCTGTTTCGCCTCACTTGCTTCCTTTGCTGCCGCCGCCGCCCCCCTCTCGCTCTCTCGGCGCGTTCGCGCCCCTTTGCGTCCGTCCGCCCGCGCTGCTTTGGCTCCGTGGAGACTAGGTTCCGGGAATCTGGCTCTCTCCGCTCGCTGTCTGGAGGCACTTTTCTGCAGTGATTCCTGCCACCTTGCGCAAATGCGACAAGCCGCGCGTGAGCTAGTCCGGGTCATCCGCTGGTGTGTTCGAAATTTTCCTGGCACGGGTTACAGAAGATGCACTGGGGCTGCCGCCCCCCCTCGCTCTCGTCGGTGCGCGCCGACCTGGTCGAGTTCTTGGGTAGCTGATCGTGCCTGCTGGTGCCCTCCCCTGCCTCCCCTTCCTCTGCTGCGCGCGCAAACTGGATTGGTAATCTAAGCCCACTTGGACTCGATTTTCACCGCTTCATTGCCAGCGGTCCCTGGCTCAAAACTCATCATCACCATCATCATCAGCACCTTTTGTAATAATTCTCCCCTGGCCTCTTGCATCCACGCACCATGGTTCTCGCGTTCGTGACCCCTGCTGCCCCAGGTTCTAAGCGTTATCGTCCTTTTTATCTCACCATATTGTGATGTCTTTTCGCTCTGCATTCGGCGCGTTCAGGGTCGGCGAAGGCTTCGGCTACGTTTCAGGCGGCTTGCGCGGCTCTTCGTCACTTTTCAGGATTGCCATCATGGTTCTGCGGCTGCTGGTGACACTCCTCCAGTTGCGGCTCCCAGGATGGACGACATTCGATGGGTGCTTCTCCTTCAAGGCCTCAAGAGGTGGTCGCGCGCGTCCCTTCTCGTCGGACGCTTCAGGCCACGATCGAGTGGGCAGCTGCGCATCTACAAATTCATGTTGATGTCATTCGGGCGCTGCTGACGATATGCGCCAAAGGTGATGATGCGCGGCGCTGGCGGTAGACATGCAAGACGGGAAAGTCGAAGCTGAGGTCGACGGCGCAGCGTTTTCACCCTATCTCGGTTGCTACACTCTCTTGGTGTGTCTAGGACCTGCCCAAGGTTCTCTTTCGTCGGCGTGCGATGTGGACGTTTTCCAGTATGAATTTGGGCTTTCGGCTGATCAGTTGTAGCCCGCGTCCCAGTTCAATCGCGATGCGCGTGGGTTTCGGCCGTTGTGTGGCGAGCGCCGTGGGGCAGACCATTGGTTAGTTGCGTGCGACATCAACTTATCCTTCAACCTTACCCTCTGGGGCAGGTGCTGGTCATCAACATGGTAAAAATATGGAGGAGTGGGGCTTGCCGAAAGTACAGTGCTGCATGTTCCACTTGCGACGCTGATCGTCCCCGGGATGACGAGCCAGAGGACG